GAAGTCCCTTCCTCTTGGCCAGGAGCAGCAGGATGGACGGCAGCCCGGGAGCCCCTTCCAATATTTTTTAACAGAAAAAAAGCTAAGAGACAGGAGGAGAAAAGTGTCTGATCCACCTTCTCTTAAAAGGGAGGAGCTAAGAAAAAAGCGTCTTTCGCCACTGACTATGACAGTAACAGAGTTAGGTCAGATAATGTTTCTGAAAAACTTGAATGGAAACAGTAAACTAGTAGACTCATATGGAGAATTAATTTCTTTTTCTGCAGTGTTTGTTGTATTCCAGGTATGATGCTGTGTATTGTCTGAACACAAACTAGAGACATGCACTCTCCACAACTAGTTTGTAGAGGTTTCAGTCCATAATTGGCTGGCTCCAAGGCAGGGATGGCAAGCAAGCATCACAGAGGAGAAACAACATGGCATGCACAGGGTAGCAAAGGTAACAAGAGCAGTCACAAGTGTTCTTACAGAAGAACTCAGTAGGGCCAAAGTCAGACAGGGTGAGAATGAGGACACAAGCAGCAGTCGGAGGAGAGAAAATGCTGTGCCGCTGGCTATGAACAGGGAGGAAGGCCCCCAGACAAGAAAGTAAGTGTGCTTGAAACCTACAAAAGGCAAGGAAATGCATTGTCCTGAGGGCCTCCAGAAAGAACATACCTCTGCAGACCATTCTAGACCACTGATCTCAGAGGCAATAGAGAATACGTGTGTGCTGATCATTCCATTATCTTTATGATGGTTGATTAAAGCAGTCACAGGATAGGAACAGAGACAAAGCCCTGGTTCACCTTCTCTACCAAGGCTGACTGACTTCCACCACTGCAAAGTTATCTTTCACCAGCTGAGATCAACCCACAAGATGGCACTGTTTTCCAAAGAACCCATGATGCTCAATCAGTGGGGGTGGATTAGATCAAGTTGGGTGTGGTTTAAGTGCTTTAGATAGGTACTTGAGGTATGAAATTTTTCAGTACATTGATAATTTTGATTCTTTTAATCTTCATGACAAACAGTGAGCTGGGTAATGTGTTTGTACCTATTTTACAGATGAGGGAACCAAGGCACAAGGAGTTATACACCTCATCAAAGTCAAGTAGACAATGAGACAGAAATTCAAAATGTGATCCCATGCTGCCTGCATACACTGCTAGGGGCTTGCATGCTACATACTCTGCTCAGCCTTTGATATGTTGAGTCTCCTTTTCACCCTTAAATTGCAACTCTGTTTCATCTTCCATAACCCCACAGCCATTTCTGTCACTCCCTATTTAATGCCTTGGCTTCATTTATATTTATATTTCAAAGGTGGCAAGGTGCAAACATTTTTATAGGATATTCATTCATCATTCAATCCTTTGTAACATGCTTTGTATCTTCTTCCAGAACAATTTTCTACAACACAAACTAAATTTTGTTGCCTCCTTGATTAGAAACGAAATTATTTGCTACAGGATTAGGTTAATTCTAGTTTTCTGTTCATGGCCCTGAAGGCCTGGGTGAGCTCACTTGGCCCTTCTACCTTTCTTTTTGATCATTCTAAAATTTTTTATTAGTATATATTTGTAGTGCATGCATTTTACAATCATGTTGAGGAGTGGTTACATGTACATGATATACCTTATTTCTTTTTTTAATTCTCCTCACCTCCCCTTCCACCTCCCTACCTCCTCCTTTAATTCAACTTTCCCCATTTTCATTCTTCGTGACATTATTAAATTCAGTTAGTGTTTATTGCATATAATGTTTACATTCATTGAGGTTATTAAGATCCTATACATGGGGGCCAGGGATTTAGCTCAGTGGTTCCACCGCCTGCCTTGCAAGTGGAAGGATCCGAGTTTAATCCCTGGTACCAAAAAAAAAAAAATCCTATACATGGCTTATCTTATTCTATTTAACCCTCAACCCTTGCTCTTGGTCTCTTGGACCCTTTTCAGTGTTCAAGAGATCATCCTCTGTCTCTTTCTTTCCTTCCTTTATCATTCTCTTTGTTTGTACTTTTTCTGACTCAAATGAGAGGTACTACACAGTATTTAAACAGTGTGTCTGGTTTATTTCACTCAACATTAGATTTTCCGGGTGCATTCATTTTCCTACAAATGTTTCAAATTTGTCCTTCTTTATAGTCAAGTAATATTCTATGATATAGAGATATCACATTTTCTTTATCCAATCATCTGTTGATCAGTGTATGAGCTGCTTCCAGGATTTAGCTACTACAAATTGTACTGCTATAAACATTGGTTTGTGTGTATCACTGTTTTAAGCTCTTTTGTGGAAGATACCTAGAAGGAGGATAGCTGGATCATATGGAATTTCTAATTTTAGTTTTTTGATACATCTCCATAGTGATTTCCATAATGGTGGTACTGATTTACATTCCCACCAACACTGTAAGAGAGTTCTGTTTTCACCACAGCCACATCATCATTTGTAATTGTTTGATATCTTGATGATTGTCATTCTTTCTAGAGTAAGATGGAATCTTAGTATTGTTTTAACTTGCATTTCTCTAATAGCCAGAAATGTTGAACATTTTTTCATATATCAGTTGACCATTTGTAATTCTTCCTCTGTGAACTGTCTGTTCATTTCTCTTACCCATTTCTTGACTGGGTCTTTTATTTTAGGTGGTCTAATTATTTCAGAGTTAATATATTCTAGATACTAGCCCTCTACCTAAAATTGTTGCCTTTTGACTTTCTTGTACCACCTCATGGATCCCTCTAACATCTCACACTCTGAAACTTTCCAAGCTTGGGTGCATCATCTGCTTTTTGAAGACCTAGTTCCCCCAGAGTAAAATGATGGGATTAGACCAAATTAGGCCTCCCTTTTGGCTCAACCTTCAGAAGAATCCCATAAAACTGACATTTTTGCTAATCAAATTTTCCATTGTGACATTAAGCTCTCTGGGTCACTGATTTATGCCCTTGATTTCTCTTATAGGTCCTGAATTGAGATTCAGCCAGGTCCATGGAGTTAAGAAGTTTCAAGAGCACTCTGTTTCCCTTTGAGTCTGACAGAGTATTAGGAGAAAAACTGTCAGCTTGTATGTCCTCTCTGTTCTGATGGGACCCTGACTCACCTGAGGGCAGAGTGCCTATCATGAATAATCTGCAATGAGGCTGCAGGAAAACCCAGAGGATCCCTAGGGAAAAAGAGGGGAGGGATTTTATTGGAGAAAAGAGGTAGAGCTGACAAAGGTGAAAGGATCCCTCCTGGTACAACAAGCTGTCATCAGCACCAAAAGATAGAGTTCATAGGTGCAGAACACCTTCTGTATCCTAGGCTGCAAGTGAGTTTCACTGGTCTTTCTGTAACCTTCTGCTGTCTTTCTGCATAGGGCAAATTTTGCAATGATCCTTTGACTTCCATTTGTGCTGTTTTACCATGAGTGATTCCCATGTGTGAGTATGACCCATGATTTCCTTCCGATGAGATCTGGCAAAGCTAACAAATTAGATGGACTTGTGTTCCTGATTTTATTACTCTAGATCTTCTGGCAACTGGGTCCCATCTGTCTCTCTGTTGTTCCATTAAAGAACTAATTACCATTTAAAGTTATGTGACATAACACTGTGAGTGTCCATAAAAACTCAGGGTGGAGACCTCTGACCAACAGCTAATAAGATACTGATGACTCCAGTCTCCAATCTGAAGAGAGTGTATTCTGCCTACAACTTGATAACCTTTGATGCAGAGCCTTCCCATGTGAGTCTCAAATGGGACTGCATCCAACACCATATCATGTCCCATAGATCCATAAGATAAGAGCCCACCTAAGCCATGAACAGACCCCTGGACCTTTCAAATTGTGAGATATTGGAGGTGTAATATGATACACTAAAACATTTGCAGAGCTGCTGTTAGATGAAAACAGAAAATTGATACCCCTGCTATCAAAGATGCTAAAATATAACCTATGCATCATGATGCCTGCAGAGGCCCCAAGAAGCCAGTCCAGTTGCCTATGAAATATTGATACTTATTGCAAAGACCAAGGGCCAAGGTAAGACCCCTTCCTTTGTCAGTCACAGGCGAGAGTGGTGCTACCCAGGCAGGCTATGGTTGAACAGATAGGAGAGCCTCCAGCTCCATCCCTTGGGTGGATCTGGCCAGCAATGGTGCACAGGGCTCCTCCGGATGCGTCATGCAAACATGGGCCCACACAGCTACTGTGTGCCTTACCAGCATGATGAACAGAGAATCCTTATCCCTGTGAGCAGAGACACTGACATTGATCAGCAAAAAAGAGTACTTTGTAGAAGTGGGGAGATCATAGAAGCTTAACAGAGAAAACAGGCCACACTTCCTCCTTTAGAAAATGCACTTTCCAAATCCCACGTGACTTCCAGAGATTCCCAACACAGCCTTGGCTCTGAGAACCTCCTCATGGCAGCCAGAGATCTGCCTTAGGGGTTTTTATTTAAGACCTGGGTACAGGTAAAATTCCTGGCTTCCCAGAGTTCACCATTTCTCCCCTCCTGCCTCTCCCCTGTGCATATCTTTGGAAACACCTCCTCTAAATTTTTCTTTAGGGTGGCTTGATCCAAGGCATGATTAGTTGCAGGAACATTTCTCAGGGCAATTGGTGGCACTCTAAGCTGGGATGTGATCAGTGACCTTGACCCCAGGAACAATGAGGTGACCACCTCCTTCCACCAGAGACATGGACCCAGCAATGCTTAGTCATCATAAATATGTGTTCACCTCAGACCGTGGGTTCAGTTCTCGGCACTTAATCTGCAGAAACCTTATGGCTTAAGGCTTCAAGAAAATTTTAAAGGTGTTTTTCTCCTCCATTGATATTTATTTCTAAATGTTAGAGAATGTAGCTAGACATAAAACTGAACTCTGGTAATACTAAAAGGAAACAGAGTTTGCATTTTCTTAAAGTTAAAGCTAGACAGCTCTTCACTCTATCTTATCTACCTTGACTGGGTGCATTGGCATCTCCTTCTGTACAGTACAACTCAGCATAATCCACAGCTATGGCAGAGTTATCCTGGCCTCACCCGACTGAGGGCCTTAGTGTTACTATCATATGCCTTTTATGTAACTGACTATAGCATTTAAAATTTTCACAGAGCAAGGGAAAGAGAAAGGCTTCCTATCAAATAAAATTAGGCATCCATGAAATCCATCCTCCACATGGTACCAGCTCACTGGGACCCCCTGGTCTTCCAAGCGCTTCTTGTAGAGCAAGACATCATCACGGAAGACATCATACTCACAGCTCACCAGGAAGGCCTCAGGAAGCTGAGCAATGATTTCATCATCTGCTAAGAGGGGTGCATTTGCTACGTCTAACAGATGTTTTGTTTCCAAATAGGCAGCCTCATTAAAAGGACCACGGAGCTGGGATTCCTGGAACCTGTTCTTGACACTCTGTCGGATGTTGTCAGAGCTGAGCCATTTCCTGTACTTCTTCCAGGTGTCTGGGGGTATACAAGCACCTTTCACCATGGCATCTCGCCAGGAGAGGTCGATGGCCATATATTTACAAAGGCACATCAACATGAAGTCCCGGGTGAGGAACGGAACATTTTGGTTCTGCTGAAAGGATGGTAACTGTAAATTGATGGCCTGAGTGGTTGGATAAATCAGGATTTGAGCCCGGATCTGGGGAAGATCTTTCTGGCTCACCAATGCCTGAGTCACCTGGGCCACAACTCCTCCTCCAGCACTTTCCCCACAGATCACAACCTGGGAAGGGTTCACACCATAGGTTTTCAGGATCTTCAGGAAGTGGATGGAGGCATTCAGACAGTCGTTAGTAATGACAGGGTAATGGTGGTCAGGAAGCTTGCGGTACCTAAGGAGGGAAGAGGGAACAAAGAGCAGTGAAGTGTGCACAGGTGTCACTGAGGGCCATCTGAACAGTGTCCTCTATAGCCCTTGGGAGACATTCCCCAATTAAGTCTTCAGAAGGACCCTACAAATCCCCATTGTCTTCCTATGTTAATGTGAAGTATCTGCCCAGAGTGTGGCTGTGCAGGATTCTACATTCCCGGCACATGCTCCATTTCCCATGCTTCCCATTCATACACAAACCCCACACAAGATAGTACAAGTTTAAAGCTATTAACTTTGGAAGGGGAACAAGCAGTAATGTTAGAAAAATGGCAAATGAACTACTGAAACAGTTAGGCACCATCATGGTGGGGCAGTGTTGAAACACAAGGCTGGAATGACAAGACAAACTGCTGCAATAAACTATTACACTTTGTAGCATGGCATGTTCTAACAGATCCATCCTGCCCTGATAAAGTCACAGAGGCATAACATTGTCCAAAATTGAGAAATTCTCCCCTAGAAGAAATATAAATAAGCTCTCTACCCTCCCTTGCCCTCAGTCTATTTGAAATGACTAATTTTGGAGTTCACACATCTGGATACTACATTATTAGTTTCCCACTAGCTTTGCTGCTGACAGCCCCTCTAATGTCTGAATTATGGTGACAGCTGCCTGGGTTACATCCAGGGACTTGAAGGCGGCTTTTGCTGAGAACACTGACTCTACCCTTCAACGTACAGACTTCTTACTCGTGGGTAAAATGGGATAAAAGGCATGGAATGTCTGTCTTCATATTGTGTCTGTTCCTTTGCTGCTTTAACTCACCCATGAAACAGAGTCTATATACCAACACTGCACAAAGACATATTGAGAACTTTTTTGATCAAGAGTATGACACAAGGTTAACTTTGCCTACTGCTGGCTGGAGTTGGTATGTGTCTTTTCTATCCCACCTTTGTGCTGTTTCAGCAGTCAAGCACTGAAAGGCCTTTAGCCCCAGTAGAAGGACCGGATGTATGTGCAAGATGATGACACCAGCTGTAAAAGTAACTCAGTAACTCCTGAGCAAAGTTGAGCCCCTCTTTACACATCAAGTACAAGGCCAGGATGTTAGTACTTGACAATGATGCCAGATACAAAGAAAATCAAGTTGACTGTGACAACCCAGAAGTCCAAGTGTCTAACTAGAATTATTTGAATACTGGGAGGTGAACACCAGGCTTTACCACTGAACTAAACCTCTAGCAGCTTTTATTTTTTATTTGGATCAGTGTTTGACTATGTCACTAATTTGCCCAAGATACAATTCAACTTTAGATTCTCCTCCCTTAGTTTCTTAGAGGGCTTCTTTGCTTACTCTATCAACAAACTGCTCACTCCCTTTAGTCAAAGCTCCAGTTTGGCTGCAGTCCCCTGCCCTATAAAACTTTGCTTGAACCAGGAGTGTGTATACTTGAAATAGTTGCCCAATCTGGCCTCTATCATCTTTGGGTCAAAAGATGCAATCTGCAGGTTTCAGTCCTACTACCCATCAGTTGTGCAGCAGCAAGGCTAAAACTATAGTTAAGGTGAAGTAGCTTTCAGCCAGAAAAAGGAAAGCAGGTGTGGGACTGCATAACCTTTGTTTCTTTTTCTCCAGCCCCATTGTGATTAAAATGTGAGTTAATGGATGGAGATGCTTGTTAGTTTAGGGACACTAGATAGGGATCTGTAACAGACCTAGAGTCCCAGAGTAAACTACTCAACTCTTTGTTTACCCGGAACTGATATTCCAGGCACCACAATTGTTAGAACAAGCTGCAGATGTCTGCTGACCATCAATATGTGACAGTCGACCACTAACC